ACACTTATTATCTGAGAAGAGCTTGAAAAAGAAAACTTGTGGGGGGCAGGAGGAAGAAAAAGAGAAGAGATAGAAAGATAGAGACAGGGAGAGTGTTCTCAGCTGCTCAAAGGGGTGAAATAAAATAGTTTCTAGAGGCTTTCAGGAGGGGTGCAGGGGGTGGGGGTAAAGGGAAAAGATATCTGTGGATGTAATAAGCCAGGTGGCAAGATGTTTAGAAAGTGCCAAGCAAGGTCTTGAGTCTGCAGCTACTGTTCAAGGTTGTTCTTGAGCTGGTCAAAGATGGTTTTGCGGTTTCTGGCTGCTATGGAGATATTTGGTATCTCCAAATTTGGCTAGAGTTCACTTGCAAAGGATTACTAGGTATGTCATGCAGTTTTGGGCTTTAGAAGCATTTCTGATTGGCCAGTTGCTGTGTAAGTCTAACAAATTAGTATAGTCATTGAAGGACCCACGTTAACAAGCTATTCTATAGTACTTTACCATTAAAGCAGGCATACCAGCAATGGCTGCTGGTTCCCAGAATTTCCAGGGTGTCAAGCTTACCCCTAACCCCTCCCCTTCAAGAAAAGGAGGTATGGTATACCTTGAAACTTACTTAACAGAGTTTCAATTACTCTCTTACTTTTTCCTAGGTTTGTATTTTAACACTTAAGGCATTGTTATTGTTCAGTCATTTAAGTAGTGTCTGACTCTTCATGGCCCCTTTTGAGGTTTTCTTGGCAAAGATACTGAATTGGCTTGCCATTTCCTTCTCTGGTTCACTTTACAAATGAGGAACTGAAGCAAATAGGGTTAAGTGACTTGGCTGGGGTCAAACAGTTAGTAAGTATCTGAGGCCAGACTGGAACTGGCACTCTATCCTCTGTGCGACCTAGCTGCCCTTTCATACACACATTCTATTATCAAAATTTTCTCTCATTTTAGTTATTATCCTTTCTCCATAAGAATTGTTACACTGGTCTTCTGGTATAAAAAATGACCAGTACAAATTTAATCCAAACCTCATTAGAACTATCAACCATCAATTAAATTATTTTTTAAAATCTCATAAACTAGGGTATTAGGCACTTGGTATTTCTGGGTATTACAAAAACTTTGGTAGTGAAGTAGTATTTTACAGTGGATACAGGGCTGGTCTTAGAGCCAAGAAGACTTGAGTTCAAGTCCAGCCTTTGTAATTGTGGGTAAGACATAACTCTCCAGTAACCCAGGAAACTCTTGAAGACTAAGTTACATTTTTGGACATGGAATGTGTATGGATGTATTTTGCTTGACTCTGCCTATTTGTTACAAGGACTGTTTTTTTTTTTGTTTTTCTTTTTACCCCCTCACCAAGACCAGTCTAATTTAGGAGGGAGAGGAGAATTAAAAATAGTGTTGCCAAAAAACAGGAAAAACTTAGTGAAGAGAACAGAAGAAAGGTCAGAAGAAAACACAAGCAGGTCAACTTTGCAAAGTAACAAGTTGAATTTATTACATGCATTAAAAAAAACAAACCCTAAGCCAGATATAATAGAGATGAACATATAATCCTTTTTCATTCTACTTTGTATATATATATGTTTTTGGGGGGTATTTATTCACAGTTCTACTCCACCAAAAAAATAAAAGATGTTGATGATACCTTTTTAGTTTAGTAGTCATACTCAGTAAGCTGCCAATAATTATATTACTTAGAAAGTCAGAAAGAAATACTTACTTCAGGTGGTTTTCTGCCCAGAAGTAGGTATGTAGCCATGACTTCATCATATTTCTGATTTATTAAGGATACATTTATTTCATCTCTTGAAAAACCCATTGTTACCATAATGTCTACAAAGGAGAAAATTCAGAAAACCACAAACTACTGTTAGTAAATAGGTTATAGTCTGCAAACCAAAAAATGGGCACATCAACAAAATCTAGATTTGACAATTAAGTCCTGATCTCACAATGTGTACTTAGAACACATTTTTAAACCTTTAAGTTAACATAGGTATACACATACTAGATACTTCTGATTACCCAAACTCAGATGATCCTCATGGTTCCAGGTCATTTATCATTGCCTACCACGATCCTGAGCTGGCCCCCTGTCTAGTCAGGCCTGGCACACTTACATACATGCCCTCCGACCAAACGCCTTCTGCTCTCTAATCTGCAGGAACAGTCTGAAGTGGGCAAGAAGTGATAGGGCTTGAATTCCATTGCATCTCTCCAATGCAGTGGAAAAACATTCTAGCTCTTCTTGTTTCCACCCTACTTTTAAGTCAGCTGTTCCAATGGTAAGACAGGAAGTAGTCACTGCCTCCAGAAGAAAGGAGTAACAGAGTTACTCCTCTAACACAGGAAAGTGGATTTCTGAGGGTCTTGGGGTAAAGAGGAAAGCTGACAAAAAGGCAAGGGAAAAGGAACAGCTGGCAGCAGCCCTTATTGATGATGTAAGAAGACCTAGAAGCACTCTTCAACTCAGAATGTTTTTTCAAATTTGAACCTTTTAAGTTTTTGTTGGCACATATTCTTCACTTATTTCTTACTCTGTTGGAGAGTCAGAAGAAATGTCAAATGTCTGTACATGTATGTAAATTGTTTTAAAGTTTCTCTGTGTCCTGACTGGCCTTTATGAAGATTAATGTATGTAGAAGAGACTACAGATAAAATATTTAAGGAAAATGTAGAGTAATTTCTAGCCTCTTAATTACAAAATAAAATTTGACTTTTAAACTAAATTTTTTCATAGAAAACTCAAGTATCTGTAGAATTAATAAATGTTTTTAATTTATAATGTATTTATAATCAGTGTGGTACAGTGTAAATAGCAGTGAAGACCATCATTCAGACATCACCTTTGACCCTTACTTGTGGTTAACAAGGGCAAGTCACTGAAACTCCCTGAGTCTTTTGAAATGAAGATACTAATACCTGTAACACTCACCTGACAGGCTAGTTGGGAGGGTGAAATGACATGATGTATGTAAAGTGTTTTGCAAACTTGAGAGCACTAGATAAATATCAGTTGCTCAGAATTTAAGGTTTTTTCCATTTTGCGAGATGTTGTTTTACGGGAGTCACATTTCTAGCTAGAAACATGACCACCAGTAATACTTACCTATTCTCTTTGTGTCATTGAAATCTGGTTCAGGCTCAGTATATGGCTTCAGTTCTTCTTCTTCATGACCAACATTCATCCACCGATCTTTCATTATTTGCTAGGAAATAAACTCAACATTATATTTGGTCGATCAGTTCATTCCATCACTTATTTCAACTCTATTTTTTGAATTGTGAATGTATCAGTTACTAAATCAGAAGCTATGCGAAGACTCAAGCAAGGGAGAAAATTATTCTCATGGAGATCACATGAGAGCTGCCATTACTGTCTAGGTCTACTTGTTAGTCCAAAAAGTTCTGTCTCTCATCTTCCTCCAAAGTCAAGCAAAAAGGAGTGTATATTGTGTTACTTATGAATATTAACTACAGTAACAAATTATTATTGTTTGGAGGTTCTAAAAACATATATTTAAATGAAAACCATAGTCTTAAACACCTGAGATAATGCCCCTGAAGAGCTGATTCTCTTTTCTTATATCCTTCACTTGACGCATATGTATGAAAAAGGTCTTAATTTACTGAACACAGGAAAGAAGAAATCATGGGGAAAGGAATTAGGGTCATTCATTAAGCATAGCACAGAGAATGAAACTTAATCAAAACAGAGGGTTAGGAACAGAGTAAGATGGAATGAAAGTAAAGAATTGTGGGCAGGAGTAGATTAGTGACGTCAGATTCAAGCTAAGGAACAGGACTGGGCTTTGAGTTGAGAAAGCAACAGGGAAGCTAACTTGGAAATCTATAGAGCATCAAAGTCAGGATAGAAAGTGAGGAAAAAGGAAAGCATATGACAGAAACTCTGAATTGTAAAAATGTTTAAAGAAAAAAAACCTCTTGAATATTCTATATTATCTGTTGCATGTTATAAATCCAAACATTTCAATATTATTTCCTTTTTACTGATTACTCTTAATCAGATAGTGACGAAAGCATAATTTCTCCTCCCTTCCTAAAAAATGTTTCTCATGCATAAACTACATACTCTAACCTTCTACTAATTAGTTTTTTAAAATTGTTATGCTTCAGAAAGCTCTTCTTATGGTTAAGAATATCTACTTAGAGGAGGTATTCTGCCCATTTCCTAATGAACTTGACAACTAGATCACAAAAGTAGAGTTCCAAATGTGAATTCTATTACCACATAAAATACACAGATCTCTGATTATGCTGCAGTGTTCTCCACTAGGCTCTTCCAAAGGGTTGTATTCATATACCAAGTAATCAGGAGGATCATGAGGATATTTGCATATAATTTTGCAAGTAATTTGTATGTGTTTACTAACATAGAGTGTAAATTTAAAGTTTTTTTTGTGTTTTTTTTTGTTATTATTTTTTAGACAATAAAGACAGTAGCTTCTATTTGTTTGTTATCACTCTGGGAAAATCATTTCACTGTCCGGTTGATTCATTAAAAAGAAAACTCAGGTGGTGAGCCCTCCAAATTCCAATTGTGAAAAATCCTAATGCCATCAGGTAACAACCAGTGATCAAGGAATATACATCACAAAATGGGAGAGACCAGGAATGGTCCTCAGAAGAAAAGGATTTAAAATGTTCCTGGAAAGAAATAAAAGAAGACTAATCAGATGCCTAGTATACAGGACAGAGCTGCTAACTTCTGCTCTATAGAGGCAAAATACCTCTAGGGATATGAACTTTTCATCCTGATGTGTTTCTCATCCTTTACCTGTCCCTTCCAATCTCCAGTCATTTTTTTTTTTTTAAATCACAAGCAAGAAATAAATACCAGTGTTTTTCTGAAGAAGAGCTGACCAGAAGATGTGATTACTGTATTATTTTAAGGATCTCTTGTAGGTGCAGGTATCCCTCTACTGACAGAGATTTCAATGTCTCTTACCCGAGTCAATTGCTGTGGCTAAAAAAATGCATCTATTACACACACACACACACACACACACACACACACACACACACTGAAGGAAGGTTTATATTTAAAAAAAAAAAAAAAGACTATTATTGTAGTCACTTAAGTAACTAGTGCCCTAATGTGGCAAGTGGGAAAAGGAGCTGACTCAGTCAAGTAGGAATTAAAAGAAAACAGCTCTTAAGTTTATAAAAAGCTATTACATACTTTCCACCTTTATCAAAAAGCAAAGGACTTTTGGTGATGACTGCCTATCCTTCCACCATTAAACACACATATCATCCTTTATTAGGAGGGAGGAAAGAACCATGAAATGTTGAACTAGATTACCCCATTCAAGAGACTTCAGCTCTCTAGACTCTCTAAACTAAAATCCTTCAAATATTAAGATTCAGCAATGTCTATTTTTGACAAATTTGTTGAAAGAAGAGGAAGGCAACGGTTTGAACTCCTTTTAAAAGTTATGGAACCTAAACAATCCCTCAAGGCCTTTTAAAATTGTAAGCAAAGTTATCTGACATGGTGTTCTCAAAGGCTATGACAGACCAGGACAAGCTGTACTAGGTTCTACCATGCTGGAAATGCTTTGATTACAGGCTTATGGAGTGAATGTCTGCTGTCTCAGGACCAGTCTAGTCAGATTTGGAGAAATGTATCAATAGGTGGCTATCAACATGATGAATACTTTGGCCACCAACAACTCTCAAAGACCGAACTCTATTCGCCTCCTGGCCCTGCTTCTGACTTTAAAGACTCTGACACCATGGCGTATAAAAGTAAGCTCCTCCTACATGACAGGCATTGTGCTAGGCACTTCGCAAAATTTTTTTTTTTTAAGGCAATTGGGGTTAAGTGACTTGCCCAGGATCACACAGCTAGTAAGTGTCAAGTGTTTGGTCTGAGGCCACATTTGAACTCAGGTCTTCCTGACTTCAGGGGCGATGCTCTATCCACTGCACCACCTAGCTGCCCCAGCACTTTGCAAATATTAACATGTCCAAAATGCTTAGCACAGTGCCTGGCACATAGTAGGAGTCTGACAAATGTTTGTTCCCTTTCCTTCTCCTCGTGTCATCTTTCCGCATTAGAATGCAAGCTTCTAGTGGGGCAAGGGTTGTTTTACTTTTTGCTTGTATTTGTATCCCTAGTGCTTACCATAGTACCTGATACATAGTAAGCACTTAATAAATGCTTGTGGCCTTGCCTTTTTGCCTCAAAGGCTACTTACCACATGATATAAAGGTGTTATATGTACTGGTGAAAGGAATAGCCACACTAATAAATTCAAGAACTTTGAAGTATTATCCTATGTCCACGCACATTTGTTTTAGATCACGACAGCATAGTGTATATACTCAATGGATCTGTGATCTCATAATCAATTTGGTATTTCTTTCATCAGTACTTGTAACCTATCCACACCTTTTCATCCTGTGTGATTTTTTTGGTCCATATATTTCCATAGAGCCTCCACAAAGAATCTATGCCACATGTAGGAAGTATTTTATTTTTCATTAGTACTAGTGCAACACATGAGCTATCCATCTAATGTTTCATGTAGGCTTTAACACATAAAATACAATACTGTATATAATCTCATAGTATTAAGAGTTTAAAGGTATGTTAAAGGTTACTTAATCTCACTATCATTTTACAGATGAGGAAACCTGAGGCCCAGAGAGATCTCTGGACAAGAATCATACATCTAGTAAATGGAATGGCAGACTTAAGATCCTGACCCATTATCCGACAGAATGTATTTAAATGATAAAACAAAGTATAGAAAGAAGAGGTTAAAATATAAAAGGAGAAGAGAGACATCAGTGTGGGGTGAATTTTCAGGAAAGACTTTGTGAAGGAGGAGGGACTTGAGATAAGCCTTGAAAAACAAGGATTTTTAGGGTATAGGCAGGAATTGTGAAGAAATGGGTTTCAGGGGCAAGAAAAATGGGTTAAGGCTGCAAAAAGCTATGAAGCCCCACATGAGGAGCTTGGACTCAATCCAAACATTTTAGGTCCTAAGTAGGGGAAATATATGGCATTTTATGAGAATTTAATCTGGATATGTACAAATTACTAGAACAAGGAGAGCAGGAGTAATGAGACTATCTGGGAAACAAATGCAGTATTTTAGAAGTGAAAGAGAGATGACCAACCCAGGGTAGTGGGATTAGCAAAGGAGAGGAAGAAAGAGCTTGGAATTAAAGATGACTCTAAAAATGTCAAGCCTGAGTGCTGGATAGTAGGATCATTGGGAGGAACAAGGAATCTAAAAAAGAAACAAAGACTCATTTGAGGTAGAGGGCTGATGACTGTGAGTTCTGGTTCAGGACATGTTGAGTTTCTTCATTTAGTAATACTTGGCTGTTTATTTAAGTAGGGCTGACTTTTGTTTAGAGCCAAAGAAAAATAGAGATGGTTAGCAAATGAATGAACGGTGATATTTACTTTTAAGATTTCAAGGTTCATCATTAAGTTTAAGCATCTTTGTTCCAAGAGCGGATGGAGCTATTGCCGCTGCAGTTAATCATCTGTTTCCCTGTAGGACTGGTGCATCATTCCAAAGAAAGGAAGAAAGGAGAGGGCAAGGAGAGAGGGTGATGGGCAGAGGTAGAAGAGTGAATGATGTTAGGTTCTTTCTTTTCTTCTCATCCTAGTCAATGGCAAGCAATTCCTTTCAGTTAACTGTTGGTATGCTCTATCCTATACCATGAACAATGTATGTTCCATATTACAGAAACATACTCTAGCAATAGCAGCTGCTACTTCTAAACAGAAAAAAAGTGTACCCATGTATGTACTTATGTGGAGAGAATATTTTCTTTGATTTTCTTTTTAGTTTGAGATAGAGAGATTATGAGGGAGAATACATGTGTATGCAGGTAATTAATTAGAATATTCTTCCTAATCCTGAATCCCGGGATAACACTTGTGAATAAATTAAGGAAAGCAAGAAATAATAAAAGAGACTGAACTGAATTGTTGACAAAAAATAGGGAAATACATATCTTTCTTTGTTTGGATAGCTCTGCTGTTCTGGCCATCTGTGTAGCCTTGGAAGCCAGTGGGGAGTTCAAAAAGGTACTGCATGTGCAGAGGGCAGAAGAGGGTCGCTGCTAGAACAAAAGGATGCTCACTTATCCCCAGGCTGGATGGCATAAGGTACAGGAAGAGAGAAGCAAATTATATTATGCATGGCTAGGTGACTCCAAT